CATAACAACACCACAGCACATACTGCACCGCTCACTAAAGGCTGCAACCACACATATTTATTAAGTGATAGCTTGAAAGAATTTGACTGTGTCAACCAAAATGAAAATTAATGCCTCGAAGACTTCAAGAAATTCTGAGGGTTTTGGTTTTTTGTTTTATCGGGTGTTTTTGTTTTTGTTTTTGGAGACAAGGTCTTGCTATGTAGCCCAGGCTGGCCTCAAACTCTCACCAATTCTTGAGCCTCGGCCTCCAAGTGCTGGGATTACAGCCATATGCCACAACACCTGGCATATGCCACCACATTAATATCAGGAAGTTCTGGTATTAATAACTCAATGTGGAGTTAGAAATTAAGGCATATATTCCCAAGATATTAATTTTGCACATTCAACCAGAGGATGGGAATGTTTTGCCCCTCACTTCCACATCAGCTGTCAGATGTCCCAAGACTTCCTGAAAGTTTACAAAGTGTATAATTTCCACATTTTTTTTTTCAAGCAACACTGTTTTGCTGATGCCAAAAAGGCAACACTGTTTTTGCTGATGCCATTCTGCAAAGATACAAAAAGAACTGAAACCTAAAAACCTTCTCGAGGTGGTCAAAAATGAAGAGGAGAGCTGGTGCTGGAATCATGAATACCGAACACAACTTCCAGGACTCCCTTTGGAACAGAGCGACCACATTCCTTTCCTGCCACAAACTCTGTCATGAACCTCAAAGCTATTTGTTCAAAGCCCTGATCAAAGCCTGGGCCCCTTCATCCAAGTTTACTTTGAATTAAGTACAGGCTGACCAAAATACTCTCTGAGGAGGAAGGAAATTTAACAGGTGTCTAGAATAAAGGATTTCCTAAGTATTTGAAATTCCAACTTCTGTGAAGTCATCAAAAGTTGATGAAAACATGAGCCTTCAATTCCCTTCAAACCTCCTTGACATCTGTACCCAGAGTTTGTCTACAGAAGATCTCCTCCGAGGTTTCAATAAGATCTTCTTAAGTCACAACCAAAGTTTGGCTGCCCAATTAAACTGGCTATTTTGGGCCAACTTACAAAGAAGACAGAGACAACATTTAATTGGAAAGCAAAACACCTAACAGTGAGTGGTAGACACATTTTCCAATTAAAAACCTGACAAGAACCACAAAAATAAAACATCTCCAAAATGCTACTCTGTTTATTTCCCATCTAGAGAGGCTGCTTCCCCCAACTTCACACCAAACAAAAGATTGGGGAGAGGGGATCAATAGAAAAAGAAAAGGAAAAGGTTGGGGATGTGTGTGTGCACATGCATGTGTGTAAAATTGTCCAAATTGTACACCAGCAGGTAATCAGGACTCTGTCCACCCAATTAGTTCTGTTTTAAAGGGCCAGTGGCAAGATTTAAATGCAAAAGCTGCACAGTTAGCAGCAGCCTCCAACTGACTAAATCCCAAGCACCATCTGTCTCCTCATTAAAGCCCCTCCTCACAGGTCTGAGGACCTCCTCTATAAAAGGCAGGGACTCTACCCTTTGAAATGTCTGACTGTCCTAAAATAATTCTTATTAAATATTTTTTAAAGGTTTATAATTTATATTGTGTCTCAAGATACTTTAAAAATCCATCTATCAAATATAATGATTTTATTACAATTGCACTATCTGTACTGCACCTTTAAATTATTTTGACTTCCAAATGCTTTTAAATGACAAGACTATCATACTAGCAAAATATAGTCATTATTTAATAATTTACCACCATGGTGGGAAATTGCAATGAAACCCAGATATTTCCTTTGTCCACACCTATTGTGTCCTTACATTTAAACTTGTTCCCCTGTAGCTTTTGTTTTTGTTCTTTAATCCAGTATTAAAAGATGGCTACAACAGTAAATGCTGTTCCAACTACTAAGAATGGCAATTTTAAAACAATATAAATTGTTACAATACATAACATAGTATAGAAACTACCTTTTTATGTATCTGATCGAATTGAAGTATTTTTAACATTCAAAAAGAAAACTGTTCAGTAATATGAAAAGATAAAGTTAAATCCATCAAATTTTTTTACAAGACAGTGTACTCTATCACTAACAATTTATTCTGTAAAAAATGATAGGGAAATATGAAAAAGCTGTCATGTACCAGATATTACTCCACGAAAGCTCAGACTTTATAAACATAAGGCTAAAATGGGTTTTCTTTTTTGAAGCTTGTTGCCAAAGCAACCAGTGAAGCTACATTCTTTGACAATTTTTAAAAAAGGTTAAGGGTAGGTGATACTTAAAAGTTTTATATGAGTTAAGAAAAATGAATTCCATGTTGCAACACAACACAGATGATACTCATTGAATAGACAAAATAGCAACTTCAGAGTGACAATACAACTGCCTAATCAGAAACATATAATCCTCATTCTATTCCTCCCTAGAGGACTCTCCTCTCACCTCAAATCCTAAACACCAAAGAAATATTATCACTTACTCATTCTCTGCCATTGCTTATGAAATTTAAACCACTGGATAAATTCAAAAGCGTATCAGAAAACAAGGAAAGAAAACTAGTAACATCCCCATTCCAATGCCCAAATTCTCAAAGAAATGACTCAAAGAAATGTTGATATTCATACATCAACACTGCAACACCAACAACATTCAGTCTTGTGGCTATATATAACCACAATTTCCAATCAGAATAAAATATGCCCTGAATGCTAGGTCTGGACATCCATTCCCTGTTACCATGTTTGTAACAACCATGATAAAGTAAAAGTGTTATTCAAGTACACTGTGAGGTCAAGGATAAGGAAGAAAAATGAAAAAGTAATATACAACAGAAGTCAAAGTAAACAATGCCCAATCTCAAATCATGGTGATAAAGTGAAGGTAATATAGGTCGACATAAAAGATGGATAATCGCAAAATCATACTGCAGACCATCCAACAGGAAGAGATTCTCACTGGAGAACACAAGAGAATGTTCTCCAAAGGTAATGTATATCTCTGTGTCAGTATCAGTAAAAAAAAGCTTTGCTTTGGATTTCATGCTGTTTTCATATATCAGACATTTAGGATAAATTTAACTGATATTGAAGAAACTGATATAGCATACCTACAGAACCACAAGTATACAGATGAGAATGGTGTATTTGTAAACACTTGTACTTGTAAACACTTTCCCTAACCCTCACTCCACTTTCATTCAAAGTAACAACCACTCCTCCTGAATTTCCCTAATATTTTATCTCTCTTCTAGTGTTATATCAGACTTTTTATGCATATTTTATCCCCCAGGTAGACTATTCTCTCAACAATAGTATATCTGATTTGTCTTTGCAAAACTCAGGACAACCACTCATTCATTCTACAGATATTTAATAAGTGTACAAGTGTCAGGCACCATACTGTAAACTAGCACTAAATATTCATTGTTTCAGTGAATGTTGACTATGAGGCAGAAAAATAAACAAGTTCAAAGAAGAATCCAAATAAAAATCACCTATTATAATTTCACAGAAGATAAGCTTGAGAAACTACAAACATTCTGACTGGAGTTTTATTATCATGAGACACATCTATACCACCTGTGTACTGGCAAAGCATGGATGTGGGCCTGTAGATCCACAACAGAATTTCTTTAGCCTACCAAGTATATTATTTCTATAGAAAGGATTTTCTTAATTGTAAAAAAAAAAAAACTTATTTAACAGCCTATAATCTTATAGTAATCTAAGTAAGACAAATGAGTATCAGTACACAAGTGGTAAGCTGTTTTAAAAATTTGGTACATTCATTCATTCAAGCACTTGGTTGCTGGGGATTTACTCAGTGGCTCTGCCCCCGCCTCAAAACTGCAAGGTCCAGAGTTCAATTCCCAGTACCAAAAAAAAAAAAAAGAAAAAATCACTCAAGCACTTGTTACCTACCAGATACTGTTCAACCCTGGGTTTTAAAAAAGATCAGAGCGTGGCGTGGTGGTGTGCGCCTGTAACCCCAGCACTTCTGGGATGCTGAGGCAGGATGATGGCAAGTTCAAGCCCAGCTTGTGCAACTACATGGGAGCCTGTCTCAAAATGTAAAAACTTTAAAAGGGCTGAGGTTGTAATTCAGTGCAAAAGCCCTGCTCTGGGTTAATTTGGGAAAGGAGAGGGGTTATCAGAACAGTCAAGGTGGCCTCCAAGAACTCAAACTGAAGTTTAGCATGGGGGGGGGGGGGCGGTTCATGAAAAATATCCCAGCTTAAATTCAAATACAAACAAAGTAAAAACGTGTCATGATACTTTTTATTCGGGTTTTTATGGCCATTCCTTGTATAATCCTTATCGCTGCTCAGTTTTTCACTTAAAAAGAAAACTCCCAAAAGGTCCACCACTCCAACTCTCACGCCAATATTCTCAGGGACAAAAACTGCATAGAAGATATCTTGAAATTTGTTTTGTTTTTAATGAAGAAACTCGGGCAGTAAGGCAGGAAAGAACAGAACAAAAATCGAAAGAGATGTGAGCCTTCAAACCCATAGACCTTCTACCAGCTCCCTGCAGATTCTAGTATTTGAGGCTGCAACCGTTCACAGGTGGTGCAAAGGGTCCAGAGTTGGACAAAATGCAACTCGTGACAGGTGACTCTGGACTCCTGAGCCCTACATCCAGAAGTTCAAGACACAAGGCGCCTTTCTCAGTAAGCGTTACGACAGGTAATTAATCCATAAATGCTTTATGAATGAAAGAACACACCTTCTACCTAGTTTCCTCTACCAAAAAACAGGCGAGTTTTTAGGGCCCACGGACACTAAAGAAAGCTGTGGAGCAGGGCTCCTCCGTCTAAACCCAAATCCAGAGGGAAAAAAGGGGGTGACTCCTGAGGCTGAAAAGGGGAGAACTGCTGAAGCTCTGGGGAGGGGCTGCGGTGAGGCAAGGAGAAAAGAGAAGGGTCAGCAAGGTGGAACCCAGCTAACCCCTCTCCTTTCCAAAGCGGAAGTCGAGCCGCTGCCCCCGTCCCCGACCCTGCCTCCTGCCTCCCTCACCTGATCACAGAGATGAGCAGCCCCGAAGGGTCTTTGCTTTTGCTGACTGTGCTTCTGTATTTCCCACCAGCTGCTTCTGCCGCCATCTTGGCACGGGGGACAGAGCCGGTGGGCTGCACAGAACTAAAACGAACGTAGACTCCGTCTTTGACCGGCCTGAGTCTGCACCAATGGGAGAAGAGAATCCAGACGCTCGGAAATAGACTATCCAGTCACAGGAGTGAGAAGGCGGGACCAAGAAAAGTCTCGACGCGGCATTGCTTCGCTCTAAGCGCTCTGGGAATCGTAGTTCACCCTCCTCGGCTCCGGGGAGGATCCGGAAGCTAAACCATTGAGGATTTAGACCCCAAAACTTCTGGCGAGTGTCTTCGTTTAACCTTGGGCTTATTTTTCACTTTGCTTGCTTTTAGAATTTTGTTGCAGTACTAGGAATTTAATGCAATTTTTAATCAAATTTACCTGATGATGATAAAATGAATATGTGAGGGAATGTGTTCAAATGGAACAGGTTCTTATGTTTGAGGCCTATGTGCAAAGTTTTCACTTTAAATACAAGTGATTTTTAGCTGGACCAGGTGGTGCCTGCCTTTAATACATTCTGGAAAGCTGAGTCAGGAAAGCCGCAAATTCTAGCCCAACCTGGACAACTTAGCGACTTAGTGAGACCCTGTCTCAAAATTTAAAAAGGGCTAGAAATGTAGCTCAATGAGAAGGTCCTAGGTTCAATCACCGGGGGGGGGCTTTAATCCAAACAAATGCTAAAATTAATCGAAACAAATGCTTTTCTTTCTTTGGTGTTTTCTTAAACATTTGTCTTATGTGTGAATTGAATTCTTTCATTAGGTGGGTATCAAGCTGGTAAGTAGTTCACATTGATTTTTTTAAGATTAGTGAGAAATATATATAACTTTAAGGCATTCAGCCCAGTCACTCTAGTCGTAGGGACTTTGTTCCTAAAGAAATAGAGATATAGTTAAAATATTGAAATTTTTGAAACAACATAGAAGACTGAATACATTATGGAAAGTTCATATGATACAATAACAGCCAGTGAAAATCAGTGATTATTATAATTAATAATTAATGATTAATCATTAATTAATCATTAATAATTTAATGATTATTGACCAAAAAATTTTTCACAATGTAAGTACAAAAAATGATATAGGGCTGGGGATTTAGCTCAGTGGTTCCTTTGCCTGCCTTGCAAGCACAAGGTCCCGAGTTCAATCCCAGATACCAAAAAGAAATAGGCTATAAATAATTCAGAAAGGTAGATGGGCCTAGTGGTTAAGAATGCAGGTCTTTGAGGGGAAAGCATGAGATCATCTCAGTTAATGCAGAAAATAATCTTTTGTCGAGATCCACCAGGCTGTCAGTCAAAATGCTCAGAAAACTAGAAATGGAATGAAGCTTTTTAAATATAATAAAGGAAATTTTTTAAACCCACAATATAATCAATAAGGAAAAACCTGAAATCTTACCTACTAAGATCTGAAGCAAGAGACAGATGGTCACTTTCACTCTTTCTAGCTAATAGGATGTTATACCCAGAGCAATTAGGCAACAAAAAAAAATGGGGGGGGGGGTACCGGGGATCAAACTTGGGACCTTGCGCTTGTGAGGCAGGTGCCGGAACCACTGAGCTAAATCCCCGGCCCAACAAAAAAATTTTTAAAGCATCCAAATCAGAAAGGAAGAAGCAGAATAATTTCTATTTGTAGATGGCATGATCTTATATAGAGAATGTCATATAAAGAATACATACAAAAATCTGTTAGACCAAATGAATTCAGCAACTTGTAGGAAACAAAATCAGCAACAAAAAATCAGTGATATTTCTATATTCTAGCAATGGAAGATACTAAAAGGAAATTAACAAAACAATTACTTACTCAATAGCAGCAAAAGGAATAAATATTTAGAAAAAAAAAATTTTAATTTAACCAAGAATATGAAAGAATTGTGTGTTGAAAACTACAAAATACTGTTGAAAGAACTTAAAGATCTAAATAAGTGGAAAGATATCCTATATTCATAGGTTGGAATAATTAATACTGTTAAGGTAGCAAAACTTCCCAAAGCTATCTACAAATTCACTGCAATCCCTATCAAAATTCAGTGGCCTCTTTGGCAGCAATGGAAAAGCTGATTCTAAAATTCATACGGAAATGAAAGGGGCCCCAAATAACCAAAATAATCTTGAAAAAACAAATACAGAGGATTCACTTTCCAATTTCAAAACTTAATGAAAAGTTATAGTAATCAAAATAGGGTAGAACTACCATAATGAGAAACACAAAGATAAGTGGAAAAACTTGAGGATCCAGAAATAAGCCCGTGTATTGAAGATCAGTTGATCCCTTTTTTATTTTTGATTCTGAGACAGGGTCTCATTGTGTTGCCATGTTGCCCAGGATGGGATTGAACTTGTGATCCTCCTGTTTTAGCTTCCCATGGTGCTAGGATTACAGGCAAATTCCACCATGCCTGGCCTAATCAAGTGATTTTTAAAAAGGATGCCAATGCCATTATAGGGGGAAAGAACAGTCTGCAATAATGGTGCTGAATACTAGATATCAACATGCTAAAAAGATGAAGTTGGACAGCTACCTCACAACAGGCAAAAAGTAATTTAAAAGAGATTGAGGACCTCAATTTAGTAGAAAAAAAAAACTTGAAAGAAAATACAAAGGTAAATATTCATGGCCTTATATTTGGCAATATATTACTATATAAAGCTAAAAGCAACAAAAGAAAAGAAAAAAACAGATAAAGAGGACTATATTAAATTAAAACTCTTGTGCATCTAAGGACACCATGAAGAAAGTAAAAAGACACACCACAAAATGAAAGCTAATCATGTATCTGATAAGTGTCTTATATTTGGAATATAAAAAACCCCTCAATAATAAAAGATTTTAAAAAATTTAACCTGGACAATGTACTTGAAAAAACATTTCTCCATCGAAGATACACAAACTGTCAACAAGCTTATAAAAATATGCTCAACATTATTAATCATTAGAGAAATGCAATTTAGAATAGCAATAAGATACCACTTCACTAGATTGGCTATAACTTTTTAGAGTGGAAAAATAAATGTTGGCAAATATGTAAAGAAATTGGAACCTCTGTACATTGTGTTTGGGAATGTGAAATGGTTCAGCCACTGTAGAAACAGTTGGAGGTTTCTGAAAACTTTGAACAGGCCCCAGCAATTCTGCTCATAGGTACAAATGCAAGAGAATTAAGTGTTCAAAAGATGCAAAAGATGCAAGAGAATTAAGTGTTCAAAAAAAAAGTGTAGCATTCATAGCTACAGTGTTCACAGTAGTTAAAAGGTGGAAAGAATTCAAATGCTCATCAGTATGGTATATGATTGTGGGATAAATACGGAATACCTTCACAATACAGGGTTGGCCATAAAAAGGAACAAAGTACTGATCCATACTACAACATTGAGGAACGCTAAAACATTGTGCTAAGTGAAAGAAGTCAGACACAATGGCCATATAATGTTTGATTCTATTTATATGAAATATCCAGAAGGCATGTTAGTGACAACTCCAAACAGGGGGAAGTGGAAGACAGCTTAATGGATATGGCATTTCCTATTGGCATGATGAAATGTTCTAGAACTAGACAGTGTTGGCTGTATTAAAGCCACAAAATTACATATTTTTAAATGGTTAAAAATAATAAATTTTATGTTATGCATATTTTACAACAGTGAAAAAATAAAGAATGCATGTGGTGCCTAGATTCAAGCCTAGGTCCCCACTTGGCAGCTACCTAACTATTGGAAGCTTACATAATCATTCAGTGCCTCAGTTTCCTTATCAGGTGTTAATACAATTTTATTTAGAGAGTAACTGTGGAACTGTATAAAATATGTATCATTAGCACTTGGTGAATATGTTATAATTACCAAAATATGGTACTAGTATTGTTTAAAATATGTCTCGTTGGTAATATGAAATTTTTAAAGGCACAATAATGTGCGCAATTTTTCATTTTTTTAATCACACTTCTGAGGTTTCTGAAACTTGTAAACAGAAATGAAAGTATTTCCCTTAAAAAGCAAGAATTGGATAAATGTCAAAATAATGGACTACTTTTATGACATACAGGAAATACAATTAGTGATCATTAATTTACACTCAAATGAACTCTTCATTCAATAAATTGTTTTGATTATTCTCCTTCCTCCACATCCATAATATACCTTTCATTTTCAGGTAACAAACATACTCATACCATTTAACATTGCCTCTATTCTAAGTGGCTTTTCAAACTAACTCCAACCTAGACTTTGAACAATGAAAAACAAAATCTGGGGAAGGATGAGTAGGCTTATCCACTTATCAGTTTCAGCTTCAGCACACACTGCCAAACTCTCCAAGCTACTTGGAACCAACTAATATTTATGAGCATATAAGAGATTAATTACAGGGCTGGGGATTTAGCTCGGTGGTTTCATCACCTGCTGCGCAAGCTCAAGGACCCAAGTTCAATCCCCGGTACAAAAAAAAAAAAAAAAAGAGATTAATTACAGACTTCTGTGTGGAAATTCTGACATGCTATACAGGGAAATAAAAGGATATGTAGAAATGAACATAAACCACAGAATCTACTGAATGCCTAAATAATAAGAGAATAAATACTTTAGATGTTTCACTAAGAAATAATCAGTGAAGGCTTGGGTAGAAAGGTCTTCATGGAATTAGTAGGTTATAATTAAGCTGAAGAAAAAAAGAATACATACTTAAGTCCCTAAAGATGAAGAGAAGGGCCTTCTAGACAAGTTAGGTTACAAAGTGAAAATATGCATCTTATGTGGAAATAATTTGTCTAGAATAAACATTTCCATAGCAGAGAAGTAGTGTCATAAGGTGAGGAAACACCTAAGATCATTTTAGAAAAGACCTTGAACTCCGTGGCCATACATTTGATTCCTTTGTGCAATAAGGGCAAGAAACAGTATATGTTCAGGTCCTGTTTTATGTTGTCTATTATTTTGTAAACGAAGGCAGACTGGTTTTATTATTACATTTGTAAATATACCCAGAGGCTCTTAAAGCCACAGGAACATCCAATTAAATTAAAATGCTTTGACCTTTTTGGATGAACAGCTCTACATAAATCCAAGGTATTGATATTCTTATTATTGT